GCTCGGCAGGGAGTCTGCTTCTCCCGCTGACCTCTCTCCTCTCATGCTCTCTCTCATTCTCAAAAAAAAAAAAAAAAAAAAAAAACCCAACCAAACAACAAACAAACAAACAAAACAATGAGAAGAAATTCAAAGACTTCAGGCAGAGAAACAACATGATCAATGAAGTATTTTGGAAAGATCACTTTGGGTACATTATGGAGAAGGAATTAGGGGTGTCCGTTCGGAGGTCAAAACTCAAGGCAGAGAGACCAGTTAGGAGGCTGCAGTTATGGAGGGGAATAATGATAGCAGCCAGGACTGGGGAAATGGCATGTGTTTAAAGAAAACCAAAAGTAATAATAATAGACCAGAAGAATCAACAGGTCATATACCAAGTAGCCATAAACAACCAGAAAGATACAAAAACAAGCACAAGCGAACCCATTGGATTGGACCTTCTTGGAAACTGAAGAGGAGGAGTCTGTGCCATTATCTCCAAGGACACTGTTGTTGGACACTGCTGATTGCCTCTTTGAAGAGCTGGCCCAGACCCCAGGTTGGTAGCAGTAGACTTTTCCAATCTCTCCTCATTCCTCCCTCACTTGGGTTGCTGGAACCTCAAATAGGTTTCCAGACCAAGTACGAATGGAAACGTGGATGAGGGTCATGAGAAGAGAAATCATGGAAGCTATAAAGCCTTGGTATCTTGGGCAAGACTCCTGCAGCTCTGCCCAGAGCAAAAATACTTGAGCCTTGTCGGACTGATAAAAGAAGTTAATTGATAGGACAATAAGAAAACAGAGGGGCCAGAGCAAATTTCTTGAACTTAGTTCAAAAGAGTGTTGAAAACAGAACTTCTTGAAGGACATTCCATTGAAACTATCATTATGATGGCCTTCTGTTGACTTTAACCGGATCTGGCCACTCTCAGTGACTTACAGTAACCATGTTTGAGTTTCATGAATGTGTGGGTGTGTATGTAAGAGAGAGAAAGAGAGTATTTGCCTTTATGATGAACGCACCTTATGAAAACTGGCACTGACCTTTGTTCTAAACTATCCCCTCTGAGAACTCTCAATCTGGGAGGAATACTATTTCCTTTTCAACTAAAAGACGGGAACATATTAGCTTAGGCTATAGTAAAATGTCAGGTTATGGCGAAACATTCTCTTCCCGTTAGTAGAAATTACCTGTCATGAAATGCACCAGAAAAAAACTAAAACAAGGAAGTGATTTTAAAGTAGTCATTTCCACGCATAGGTTTTGTAACCTATGAGGCAATCTGAACCATCACCTTCTTATTCCTTAACTGGAGCTGAGACCTAGAAAGAGGAACCATCCTCTGTTGGTGGAATCTCAGATCTCCAAGCTGGACAGTGTAGATTTCCTCTCCTCATGATCAGGACTTGGCACAGCACAGGTGTTTGATATACTGTGGTTGAATTTTTGAAAGTGTATTTATGTTTTATTTGCTCACAGGTACCTAATGCCAAAGCCATAGTATGTGGTTGGTAAATATTTGTTGATTGAATGAATAACTAATCCCAACCCAAACTATGGCACATTTGGTCCTCTGCATTCTTCAGCTCATTGTTCCATGACTTCTCCATTTCAATGACATCCCCTTCCTTCATTGTGCTATCATTCAAGAAACAGCAGTTATGTGCTCAGACTCTGGAAACAAATTTTTTTTTCAAAACACAGACGGGGCACCTGGTGGCTCAGTGGGTTAAAGCCTCTGTCTTCGACTCAGGTCATGATCCCAGGATCCTGGAATCGAGTCCCGCATCAGGCTCTCTGCTCAGCAGGGATCGTGCTCCCCGTCCCTCTTTACCTGCCTATCTGCCTACTTGTGATCTCTGTCTGTCAAATAAATAAATAAATAATCTTAAAAAAAAAACAACAGACATTTAGTTCTACTACTTAATAGGTGAACAATTCGTTTTACCTGTGTCTCGATTTCTCCATTGGTTAAGAATAATAAATACTACCTAGACTGGAGAGCTGCTGGGGGCTTTACATCAGACACAGAATGATAAAGCATGAACACAGTACTTGCTAGGTGGTAAGCACTTAGTAATATTGACATACTTGTTTTTTTTTTTTTAACTGCAACCACATTCGGACCTTGTACTTCTCCTATTAGGATACCCAGACACAAAAAAGAGCAAAATAAGCTTCCAAACTGGGTTTTGCCAAACCCTGTGAGCTTCTGAAACTGTTTAATATCACTTCCATTTTGTTACAAATACAGTCGCTATGGGAAGGAAGGAGATGCTGAGAAAGTGGGTTCCTCACCTTCTTTCCCAATAAGAACAGGTTCACTTGGATTTATCACCCGGAGAATTTTTGAAGATTGAAAAAAACTCCTCTACTAGAGTCAAAGTTTGAAACCATGATCCCATACCACGTTGCTTCTCCTCATCCATTTTAGTAGGCTATGAAGAGAGCTAGGTCTATTCCTTGCCAGGAACTGGCTGGGTTGTCTTAGGCAAATCACTTAACTTCTCTGCTCTCAACTCCCCATTCCATGAAAGATGTAGTTTGGAAAGATAATGTTTGCGGTTCATGTTTTCATGTTAGTTTTAATTCTGGAAATCTGAGAAGAGTTGTTTTCAATAGCTTGATAAAGCTTTCTCACCATTTAATTCTGGTAATCATTTAGCTACAATAACCGGGGGCACAATATATACACAGACACGTGTTGAATATTAAATGAGTGAGTGATTTGTTACTTAGGATGGTGATAGACTGTGCCTTGGTGGGGCCATGCTTTGCTTCAGTGTGCTACGCTAGAGTGTAACAGCTGTTTACTACTAGCTGAGGGCCTGGGAAAGTGACAAGAGCATGACTCAGTACAGTAAACTCCACATGATTAGGAAAAGTCTGGATGTCTTGCTTATTTACCAAGAAATTGTGAATCTGATTAACCAATTCTACCATTTATATCTCCTGTGCATATCCCAAATCCATCTCTATCCTCCTTTAATACCACAGCAGACCACACCACCATCTCCTAGTCCAACCCTACAATGGTTCCTTAGGGTCTGCCTGCTTCCCACTCTTGTTAATTCCAATCTGTTCTAAATACATGCTCATTATTCCCTATCACTGGAATGTGCATGTTTCTTTCAGGCACTATCATATATTTGGTTCTATACCCATGTGGTTACTTTGTTTCTTCTAGGAGGCTGTGAGCCCCTCCAGGACCTTTCTTATTCACTGTTATAGTCCATACCGGCTCCCCAGCTCGTGCCTAGTACAAGAAGCCTTTTCATAAATAATCAGTGAATGAATGCTCAAAGGCTCAGAGACCATGTCTTAATTTACTCTCTTGCCATCAACACCCTGGGCAATGGCGATGCAAAGCGAGCAATCGTTTGTTCCAGGTAAGATTCATTTAATGAAAGGATGAGTCTCCTCTCTGGGTTTTAGACAAAACTGTATTTGAATCTTTTCCACTTTGCCAGCTGTGTGACTTTGAGCCTGGATTTCATTAACTGCAAAATGAGCTAGTGCTTATTGCTCTAGGGTTGCTCTAGGATGAGTGAAGGGCTCTGCACAACATCTGAGACAGTGTGTACTCCTAGTATCCCCACTAGCACTGGGGGAAGGCTCAGGGAAGAAGTCTAAAAGAAGAATATGAATCCTCAACTAGGTTAAAAAAAAAAAAAAAAAGCAAAACAAAACCCACAAACCAGGAAGTTTTGCATACAAAAAGTCACAACTACCCTGAACTACCTTACCTTAAGTATTCATTTGTATCCAACTTTCTATTAGAATTGTTGGAGAAAGGGACATGGTGGGGGTGGCTAGTCGATTTTGTTGTTTTGCCCTGTTGCAGATCCCTTCTAGCAATGACTTAACAGCCACGTGCCACTTGGAGTTGTTCAACTATACAGTAGGTAGTATTTATTTAAAAAACAAAACAAAACAAAACAAAAGTAGCAGTGCTCACAAGGATTAGGCAACTATTCAGAATCTAACCATTTAATGCATCATAACAAACCCTTAGGTGGCAAATTTCAGAGTAAATAGTTGAATCTAAACACAGGCTGCAAGGATCTGGACTGTGGCCACCATTTTTGCCTCATTCCACCCCAATGCTCTCCTTGAGCTCCCAATATATTTTCTTTGAATTTCAGCCACAGGACCTTTGCACATGGGCTCCTTTTTTTTCTGGACAACTCCCTCAGTTAACTAGATTCACCTTTATAGCTCAAGCTCACTTCTTCAGAGACTTCCCTGACCTCCAGCTTAAGTCCTAGAGCCCTCCTACAGTCATTCACAGTAGGGTTTCACTTTGCAATTATACACCCAATTATGTGGTTATTTTGCTTAATGTTTGTCTCCGCCCATAATTTGTACTGAGAGCAGGATCAACGAGTGTCTAGGTAACCAGGTATAAGGCCAGGGCCCAGAATGGTTCCTGACCTGTGGTAGGTATTCAGTCAGTATATGTTAAAGGAATGAATAAATGAAAGGTTTCCGGAACTAGTGTAGGGATCTGAGTATCCAAGAGAGGAAGTCAGATCTCTGCCTCTCCTCTCCCGCCGGAGTTAAAAGGTGAGGTAGGGTACACACACCAATAAACACACAGAATACACAGAAGCAATGTCCCGCACCTCCTTCTAGCTGGTGGTCGATTTCTTGAACTAATCCTTCTCCAGCCAGAGTGTTCGGAGGAAGGGGTGGGTTTAAGGGCAGATACTGAAGGTGATCGAGTAGCTGAACAACGATCAGATCCCAGTGGAGATCCCAGGTCCTCCGCAAGGCTGCAGAAGGCCAGGCTGCCGAGCTCGGTCAGGCCACCAGCTGACCCCTCGCCATCCCTAGTACCCACAACGGCGCGCTCTCATCAGCGCCTTGGCGCTGGGACCAATGCGCCCGGGCGCGCCAGCTGCACCGCGGCCCGGGCGTGCGCGATTGGCAGCCCCCAGCCTCAGCCCCCCCCCCCCCCCCCCCCCGAAGTCCGGCCCCCGCCTGCTACCCGGGCGTCGCCGCCGCTTCCCCCTCGCCGCCCCGGGGCGGTCCCGCGCGGGGCCGAAATCCGGCCGCTCACTCCTCCCAGGCGCCGCGATCAACAAGGCTCCCGCAGTCGGCGCAGTCCTGTCCCGGGCCGGAGCATGAAGGTCGAGTTTGCGCCGCTCAACATCCCGCTGGCGCGGCGGCTGCAGACCGCCGCGGTGCTGCAGTGGGTCCTGTCCTTCCTGCTGCTCGGTAAGGACCCCGCGCGCTCCCGGGCGCCAGTCTACACGGTGCAGGGGGTCTCCGTCTCCTCCCTCGCCGAGAGTCCTTGTCCAAGGACGCGCTTAGATCCGCCAGCCCTTCTTCCCGTATAAGTCAGAACAAGCAGGTCAGAGAGGGCTTTGGAGAGCTAACTTGGGACTCTTGGTTTTTCTCCCCACGTGCACCTCATGCACGTGGCAACTGTTTTCCCTGGGATTTTTTTTTTTTAATTGATGCCTACCTTACCTACAGTAAAAGGTACTGATGATAATTATGCAGCTTGATGAGTTTTGGCAAATGGATACACCCAGATGTCACCACAATCCAATCAAGCCGTGGAACATTGCACTATAGGTCTGCAAAGTTAGTAAACTCGTTTCCTGAATTGTCGACTGATTAAAAAAAAAAAAAATGCTCGAGTATTTACAGCCTGATTCCTTCCTCATCCCACCCTCGTGACAAATAGCCGTGTAAGCGTTTCCGTGTTTAAGATCCCTCAGGTGCAGAAAGGTACCTTTGTACGAGGAAGGCTGCAGCAAACATAGGTTTCGCTTGGGTGGCTTCTGTAGGTAAATAACTCGACCCAAGGGTGTGTTCTAGCGGGTTCCCGAGTTAATCCCATCGAGAAAGGCACCTTGAGGCCGTCGCTAGATGGGGCGGGTTGGGTTACCCGAGCGCTTTTTTTTTCCCGGATGTTTGTTCAGCTCTCGGCGTAAATGGGGGCGTGGATGGTATGAAACGAGGGAGGAATTACCGAAAACTTGGCTGTCCTGAAGGCTAACAGCATTTGTATGCTATAATAAGATCATGGGTTCTACCCTGTGGAGGCCACAATGATAATAATAATAATAATAAATTCTTTGCACTGTAGAAGTCTACAGTTTTGAAATGCTTTCACATTTTGAATGCCTGGGTCAGTGGTTCTTGACCCTGGTTATACATTAGAATCACTGGGGGCGCTTCTAAAAAATACAGGTGTTGGGGCTCTATCCCTAGTATCTTTAATAAGTTCGTTTCAGAATGGAGCCCGTGGATCAATATTTTGTGTATCTATGTAACTATATAAATGCGGTGTGTATACACACACGGACTCTCCAAGTGACACTAGGGTGCAGCTAGGGTTTACTGGAAAAGGAACTTCAAACCAGTAACTCATTAAGTCTTCACAGGCCAAACCCCGAGACTGGTGTGGCAGCATTACAGTCCAAGGAGCAAAGGACATCACAACATAACACTGATTGAGGGCTTAGTGTGTGCCAAGCCCTGTTCTAAGCACCATACACCATCAACCCTGCGATCTTCCCAACAACTCTATGAGACAAGGAGTGTGCGTCCCTGCACTCGTTGGACAGATGAGGAACCTAAGAGGTGAAGTAAATTGTTCGAGGTCACATAGCTGGTCGGAGCGCGAGGAGCTGGGTGCAATCCCAGATATTCTACACAGGGTCCCTGCTTTAACTACTGTGCCGCCCACTCCAATGGCTCGAACTTGGAGACTGTCTCACTTGCTGATCAGTCGCACACTCCGGTGGCCACGGTCCTTTCCTTTTATAGCAGTCATTGTCATTGCTTGTATTGATGTGTTTCTGGGGTTACTTGAGAAGGGTCTGCATGGCCAACCTTGTCCACCAGCTCAGTGTGGGAGCACTCACTACGTGCCTGGCCCCTGGAAGGCACAAAGTAAATACTTGTTGAATGACTGTCTCCACTGTGTCACCCAGAAGGGAGGCTCTCCGCTCCCATGTGTCTCTAGTTGTATTAACCTGCATCACCCTCACAGCAACCGTCGGAGGTAGGCCCTACCCCATACTCATTTTACAAATGAAGGTGTCTAGAGGTGAAGTCAGTTGCTCAAGGTCACAGGTGGGGGAGCGCAGGTGTCAAATGTGAGTGAACCAGTGACTGAGGTATGACTAATGATTCTTAATTTGAGTCAGACTAGAGTGGCTTGCAGACCATTTAAATGCCTTTTATTGCATGCATTTGACATTTTTGTTACTAGGAGCGTATTATTTTGCACTATATGTAGCAGTAATTTTATTTTAAAACTTTCAAACATGCAAAAAGTAGAGAGAAGTATGTGAACTCTCATATATACCCATTACCTGGGTTTATAATTATTTTAACAATTTACCATATTAGTTTTATCTATTGTTTTTGCAAAGATTTTAAATCATAGTATATTTTAATCCTAAATACTTTGGTATGCATATATAAGATTAAGTATTTTTTACATATTCATGGTACACATGTAGTATAATTAACAATCATTGCTTCAAATCATTTAAACTAAGTGCATATTTCCTAAACTGTGTCGGAAATACACTTTTCTTGGTGATTTATTTGAACCAGGTTCCGAGCAAGACCCTTGTGTTGCATTTGGTCTTTATGTGTCCCTTAATTTAGAACAGTGTTCCCTATTTGTTTTCCTGTCAGCAAAATGCTAAAGAAAGGAGGTTATCTGTCCTGCAGGGTGTCTCCCTTCGTGGTTTTCCTGATTGCTTCTTTTGTAATGTTAACCTGTCCCCCAACACCCTGTATTTCTTTCTTTTTTTTTTTAACCCTGTATTTCTTCTACAGTGGAAGTTAGATCTAAGACTTAATGAGATTTATTTATTTATTTTTAAGATTTTTATTTATTTGAGACAGAGTGCACAAGCTGGGAGAGCGGCAGAGGGAGAGGGAGAAGCAGACTCCAGCCTGGGATCATGACCTCAAGCAATGGCAGAGGCTTAACCTGCCACCCGGCCTGCCAAGGCTTGATTCAATGTAAATGAAACCTTTGTGGCAAGGCCTCTTCCCCAGGCACCTCTGTGTGCTTCACACTGCGTTATGTTAGGGTGTACACAGTGTCCAGTTGTCCCATTAGTAGTGTCTAAGCGTGATCTGTGGGTGCAGATAGGAAGTAATCTGAGGGCCGGTAATTGGCATGTGCAAGCAGAAGTTCTCCACTGACCCTAGTGGACTCCATTAATGATCCTTGCCTGAGTCAACTGCTATGTGGGACTGCAAAATGCTAGTTTTCTTATTCTGTCATTTACGGGCTAGAATTTCTGCAAAGAATAATTTTTCTCCATCATTTAGGGCCATTTGACTACCCTACAACTCAATTCGTACTGGAAAGGTAGGATAAGAGCTTACTTCTTTCTTTCCATTTAATTATCAATCTTGAAGGAAGGAGTAGATGTAGAAGCTACTTTCGGTGGTGTCAAGGGAGTTTTTATTAACTGTCTATTTTAAGACCTCTAAATCAAAGTCTTGGAAAGCATTTTCCTTTCCAGGAAATGAGTTGAAGCTATTAGCCCTTGAAATATATTTTAAAAATCTCAAAATGTTTCGTTTAGTCGTGCAATCACTCTTTCCTTGAAATAAATGTTAAATACCTGTCATCCAGTTTTATAACATTGTATTAGTATTAGGTGGATGACATAATGATTTGATGCATGTGTTTATGACAAAATGATTTCCACAATAAGTTTAGTTACTGTCTATCATCTTACATAGTTACAAATATTTTTTCTTTTTTTTTTTTTTAAGATTTTATTCATTTATTTGACAGAAAGATCACAAGGAGGCAGAGAGGCAGGAAGAGAGAGGGGGGAAGCAGGCTCCCTGCTGAGCAGAGAGCCAGATGCAGGCCTCTATCCAGGACCCTGAGATCATGACCTGGGCCGAAGGCAGAGGCTTAACCCATTGAGCCACCCAGGCGCCCACAAATATTTCTTCTTTGTGATGAGAACTTTTAAGACTTTCTCTTTTAGCAACTTTCAAATACAATATAGTATTGTTGGGACATCTGCGTGGCTCAGTCGGTTAAATGGCTGCTTTCAGCTTAGGTCATGATGCCAGCGTCCTGGTATTGAGTCCCATATCAGGCTCCCTTGCTCAGTCAGCATGGTGTCTGCTTCTCCCTCTAGCTCTGCCTGCTGCTCCCTCTGCTTGTGCTCTCTCTCAAATAAATAAATAACATCTAAAAAAAAAATACACACACACACACACACAGACACATATATACACACAGTATTGTTGACTATGGTCACTATGCTGTGCATTCCATCCCCAGCACTTACTTATCTTATAACTGGAAGTTTGTACCTTTTGACCCCCTTCACTCAATTTGCCCACCCCTCCATCCCCTGCTTCTGGCAACCGCTGATCTGTTCTCTGTATTTACAAATTCGTTTTTTGGTTTTGTGTTTGTGTTTTGTGGGGGGAGGGGTACAAGGGTGGAGGGGCAGAGGGAGAGGAAGAGAGAATCTTAAGCAGTCTCCACGCTGAGCATGGAGCCTTATGTGGGGTTCAGTCTCCCAACCCTGAGATCATGACCTGAGCTGAAACTAAGAGTCTGATGTTCAACGGACTGAGCCACCCAGGAACACCTATGAATTAGTTTTGTTTGCTTTCTTTTTAAAATTTCACACACAAGTGAGATCATACAATGTTTATCTTTCTCTGTCTCACTTATTCCATTTAGCATAATGTCCTCAACGTCTGTCCAGTGGTATCACACGTGGCAGAATTTCCTTCCTTTTTTTTTTTATGGCTGGATAACATATATATCTTTATCCATGGACACTTAATGTCGTTTCCATGTCTTGACAACTGTAAGCAATGCTGCAGTGAACACGGGGGGTGGGGGTGAAGGGCAGATTTCTTTTTGAGATGATGATTTCATTTCCCTTGGATAAATTCCCAGAGTGGGATTGCTGGATCACCAGCCATCCAATCTTAATATTCAAGAAACTGAACCATTATATACTAGTTTGTGGGCTACCAGCCTGCTAACCTGAAAGTAGGAAGCTGACAGAGAGCCAGCATTTACTTACCGTCTTTTACCTGTAACCGCATGTGGCAGAGAGGACTAGATTTCCTTTTTTAGATGACAAGACTGGAACGTAAGAGGTTAAGTGTCTTGCTTAGATGGCATTGGATTGGCCCATGATCTTCTACTGAGTGGGTTTATTTATTGAGCATTGTTCTTGAAGCATGGC